CTAGAGTCTCGACATCTTTTTTACATCGCGGTGACCAAAACTGGATGCAGCATTCCAAGTGTGGCCTTACCAAGGCATTGTAAAGTGGTATTAATACTTCACGTGATCTTGATTCTATCCCTCTGTTAATGCAGCCCAGCACTGTGTTGGCCTTTTTGGCAGCTGCAGCACACGGCTGGCTCATATTTAAATGATTGTCCACTAGGACTCCGAGATCCCTCTCACAGTTACTACTATTGAGCAAGGTGCCACCTATGCTGTACTTGTGCATTTGGTTTTTCTTGACTAAATGTAGAAACTTACTTTCTTCACCATTGAATTTCATTTTGTTAGATAGCGCCCAGTGTTCAAGTCTGTCCAGATCCTCCTGTATCTTAAGCCTATCTTCTGGAGGGTTGGCTACTCCTGCCATCTTACAACTAGTTCTTTTTCTGCATAAATAAATCTGAAATGTATGTTCCATGCAGAGTAGCTAGGTAGAACAAAGGCTTGTATTTTAAATGTCGATATGCATGCCTAGAATTATAGTTTCTAAATGCCGTCATTTTCATGCGTAGCCTTGAGGCTTAACTCAGGAAAATGTATCATTGAGAATAGTAATGAAAACAAAACAAGTATAAAAGTAGTGAATTGGCCATTATTTTTTTAGGTAGCACAGTATTTCCCCCCCCCCCTTTTGCCAGGACATTTGTAAAAAGTTGCAACGTTCATCCCACTTCTTGCATGCTGTGTGCATTTATCGTACATCGTAAAACGTTGCTTACCTTGAAGTTGATTTGTCCGTTCGGCAAGTGATTGGTGTGTATCTTATGCAGGAAGTAGATATCTTTAATGAAAAGATTGAAAACAGGGATGACGATTTTCTCCCGGCTGCTGTGTGCTGTCTGAGATCTCTGGGCTGCCCCTTGAAGAGCCGTCCGATAATTACAAAAGTTGCTTGATGGATCCATGTGATGCTGTTTCCAAAGAACGATAAGAAGCAATGGCTTAGTGTCTGTGGAGATGCTCAGTCATCTCCACAGACATCCTTTCAAAAAGGCAACTGGACTTTGGGTTTCCATAAAGACATTTTGCTTCTCATCCAGGACGCTTCTTCAGTTCTGCCTGAATGGTGGAGGATGGAAGGATTTATATTCCTTGCAGTCATCTGATCATTAGCCCTCTCTATGAGAGTCGTTGAGGCCACTTGGAGATTTATCTGTGTCCTCGGGGTCACCCGATTAGTGCAAATGGGTGTGGAACCTTCTTGGAACTGCTGAAAGGATTGTCGTCAACACTGCTAACATCGGATGTTCTTGCTTTGACAACATATGGAGATGCATCCATTTTCCTTCTTATGTTTTACTCTTAGAATTAGAGTTAGAATTAGATGATACTGGGGGGGGGGAGGAGAAGGAATGTGCGTGGGAGTTTAGTTAGACATAACAATACTGTAACTAGTGTGAGAACCAAGGTTGTTGAAATAAGAGATGATAAGAATTGGCGGGTTGGAGAACTGGAGGGAAAGCCTGCATTTCAAACTAATTGGAGAATGTGATTTATGACTGTAAATTAGAGGAGGGAATTGTGCTTTGATACTATGTGCTCAGGGGAGGGGAATTCAAATTTTGGCTTTGCGTATGTAAGTGCAGATGCTATACTACTCAAAATAAAGATTCTTTAAGGTAAACAATGCCTTGAAGTTCTTTGAAGAGTTTCATCTGTCGGAACCATGACAATTGTGTTGTAAACAGGAGATAAGTGGTGTTGAGAGAAGGCTGTTCAATTTTGACATAGATGGCCTCTTTGATCCCTCTAGTGTGACCTCAACAACCCTCCGAAAGTGGGCTAATGACGAGATGACCTGCAAGGAATATAAGTCCTTCCATCTTCCACCATCGGGACAGAAATGAAGAAGCTTCTTGGATGAGAAGTGAAGTGTCTTCAAGGAAAAAAGCAAAGTCCAGCTGTTTTTTGAAAAAGAGATGGGACAAGTAATGGCTTGTTAGGAGACACTTGAGTGCAAGTCCTTGTATAATTTATTTGAATCAAGTTACAAAAATCAGGAGGGTGCAAGTGACCACATTTCCTGGGGGAACTAATTTCTCCGGGTTTGGAGACTGAGACACCTCCTGTTACTTATAAAATGCGAAAATGAACACAGCCCTTTTAAAAGGAGAGCATGTTACCGTCGGAGGCTTCGGCAGAGGCTAAAACTAAAAGCGATCCCTGCAGAGTTTTCTTTAACAAGGTTTATCGAGATAGATACAATGGTGGGATTCAAATACCTGAACAACCAGTTCTGTTACTGGATGCAGGCCTGGGCCTCCGAGGCCTAGAACGGACTTCCAGAAATGGCATCCATGCACTTCCGGCGGGCCGTTCTAGGCCTGGGAGGCCTCCTCCAGGCCTCTGAGGCCTAGAACGGTCTTCCGAAAGTGGCACCCACGCACTTCCGGTGGGCTGTTCTAGGCCTGGGAGGCCTCCTCCAGACCTCCGAGGCCTAGACTGGACTTCCAGAAGCACTGTGCATTAAGCCAGTTCTCCGAACTCAGCAAAATTCTATTCTATTCTATTCTATTCTATTCTATTCTATTCTATTCTATTCTATTCTACTCTACTCTACTCTACTCTACTCTACTCTACTCTACTCTACTCTACTCTACTCTACTCTACTCTACTGACATCCTAGCTTCTTGAGAAGAACTAAACACCTAGGAAGGCCAGCACCCGCTAAAGAACTGGTAGCTGTGATTTCACAGGGTTGTATATGTAATCATAATCCTTTTTATTTTCAGGTTTTTGTTTGAGATGGCTTGCTTTTGCTAAATCCTGAATATAATTCCCCACCAGATGGCAGGCTTCAATGAGATACAAAGAAAAGAAATAAAAAAGTAATATAGAAGGTGGATTAGGAGTGGTCATCCACTTGCCTTTCAATTACTATCAGCTCCATCCAGGGGAAATATTGTTACAGGTGGAAAATGGAAGATGGAAGGTTTCTATCTTTATACTGACAAAAATATGTAAAAGGAAAAAAAAGCACTGCACTTAACTTATTGAGAAAGGCAGAGTGCTGTATTTTCTGCAGTGCAAACCTGCTTGAATGCCCGGTGACAACTGAAGAAATTCTTTAAATCGAGTTCGAATGAAATTTGATTGATTTTAAGATTTGGGAGGAAAAAAATGATTTGTTACTATTTTCATGCTTGCCCTGTTTTTCTTCTGAACTATGAACTACGGTTAAGCCCACTTCTTGTGCTGCTGTATTCTGGCTGGTCACTGTTTTTTTTTTTTTTTTAATGAAAAGAATCCTTTTGGCTAAAAAAAAAATATTGACAGGATGCAGCAAGGTGTGAAATACTTACCTCTAAAACATCAAATTTGGCTGTTTTCACTTTGGACCATGTTTTCTTTAGCCGGGCAACAGGACTCAAGTTCATGCCAGCTGGAAGAAAGAAAGAAAGAAAGAAAGAAAGAAAGAAAGAAAGAAAGAAAGAAAGAAAGAAAGAAAGAAAGAAAGAAAGAAAGAAAGAAAGAAAGAAGACGAAAGAAAAAAGAAAGAAAGAAAGAAGACGAAAGAAAAAAGAAAGAAAGAAAGAAAGAAAGAAAAAGAAAGAAAGAAAAAAGAGGGTGGGAGAGAAAAGAAAAAGAAAGAAATGAAGAGAGAGAAAGAAGAGAAAGGGGGAGAGAGAGAAAGAAAGAAAGAAAAAAGAAAGGAAAGAAAGAAAAAAGAAAGAAAAAAGAAAGAAAAAAGAAAGAAAGAAAATAAAGAAAGGAAGAAAGGAAGAAAGAAAGAAAGAAAGAAAGAAAGAAAGAAAGAAAGAAAGAAAGAAAGAAAGAAAGAAAGAAAGAAAGGGAGGGAGGGAGGGAGGGAGGGAGAGAGGAAAAAAGAAAGAAAGGGTGGGAGAGAAAAGAAAAAGAAAGAAATGAAGAGAGAGAAAGAAAGAGAAAGGGAGAGAGAGAAAGAAAGAAAAAGAAAAAAGAAAAGAAAGGAAGAAGAAAGGGAAAGAGAGAGAAAAAAAACAGGGAAAGAGAAGAAGACAAAAGAAAGAGAAAGAAAAGGATTTTTAAATGCAAATAATTTGCAATATCTTCCCATTCATTTCAAACATTTTTCTAGCAACAATCGCCTTTCATGAAACTTTTCATTCAGGACTCTTTTGACACGTGTCAAAGGGAAGCTTCTGCAGCAGGTGGGTTGTCCTAAGCCCATTAAACGTTCATAAGCCAAGGGTCAAAATATTCTCAACCCACTCACCCATCACTTCCTCATTCTATATTCCTCCAATCCACCTTCAGGTGTTAAATATTGCCATGCTCCACATTCTAGCAAACTGAATCGTATTCTTTCAAGCTGATGCCCCAATCCTCTTATAAGTTTTTTTTTTTTTTTTGATAAATCTGCTGCTTTTCCACCTAACAGTGTCTTCCTGGCTTTCCTTCTTGTTTGTGTGCGTCACCAATCCCTTTTACCCTGGCAGTAACTTTTGTCTCTGAATTCCTGCGTGGAGCAAATCCTGTCCAAACCCCAGCTTTTACAACTATGGCAGTGGTGGCGAACCTATGGCACGGGTGCCAGAGGCGGCACTCAGAGCCCTCTCTGTGGGCACGCGCGCCGTCGCCCCAGTCCTGGTTTTATAAAACATTTTCGCTTTAGGCCTCCGCCGCCGTGTCCAAAAAAAAAAAGGTTCAAACAATCAGTCAATTTCAATTTCTCGCGGAAAAAAAAAAGATCTTGCAAAGTTGGAATTGATTGATTGAACTTTTTAGTCCCACCCAGTCTGCCGTTACCACCGCAGCCACGCCCACCCAATGGGCCACACCCACCCAGCACTCGACGATGCATAAGTGGGTTTTGGGTTGCAGTTTGGGCACTCGGTCTCTAAAAGGTTCGCCATCACTGAACTATGGGGAAACAAGGGTTGTGTACACACATTAATACTTGAGCAGGGCACAGCGTGCAAGAAATAAGGGAGGGTGGCTCTCGAAGGAAAGTTCACCTGAGATAAAGAACTGTTTGTTTTGCTCCCAAATTAGTTACTGGGAACTCTCAACCCAAGTGAGTTATTGGGAAAATATTTGCACACAGATGATCTGTAAAAAAAAATAGGACTAGCTTGGCACACTCAACACCAAGAGGAAGGTGCTAATATCAGCTGTGCCGCGCTGCCCGATTTAATATATCACGCAGATCTTTCTTTTAAGGTTTAAAAATCTTTAAACAGAGCTGTAGTCCCCAGCTTGGACCGACAATTGCTTTTCCCACTTGTTTCCACCTTCTCCCCTGTTACTAATAGAAGCAATTAGTTCCTGGTAGCTTTCTGTTGCTGGCAAAACAGCTGGCTGCATTCCCCCCATTTTAGGTATATATGAAGTTCTTCATTTAAGCAGGACTTCAATCCTTTGAAAGGATCCTGGTTGAAAGGGAAAGGCTTGTCAGGACAAAGTGTGGTAAGGCCACACTTGGAATACTGCATTCAGTTTTGGCCACCACAATGTAAAAAAGATGCTGAGACTCTAGAAAGAGTACAGAGAAGAGCAACAAAGAAGATTAGGGGACTGGAGGCTAAAACATATAAGGAATCGTTGCTGGAATTGGGTATGTCTAGTTTAATGAAGAGAAGGACGAGGGGGGGACATGATAGCAGTCTTCCAGTATCTTCCAGTATCTCCCCCAAAGAAGAGGGAGTCAAGCTATTCTCCAAAGCGCCTGAAGGCAGGACAAGAAGCAACGGATGGAAACTCACCAAGGAGAGAAGCAACCTAGAACTAAGGAGAAACTTCCTCACAGCGAGAACAATTAACCAGTGGAACAACCTGCCTCCAGAAGCGGTGAATGCTCCAACACTGGAAGTTTTTAAGAAGAGACTGGACAGCCATTTATCCAAAATGGTATAGGGTTTTCTGCCTGAGCCAGGGGTTGGACTTGATGACCTCCAAGGTCCCTTCCAACTTTATTATTATTATTATTATTATTATTATTATTATTATTATTATTATTATTATTATTATTATTATTATTATTATTATTATTATTATTATTATTATTATTATTATTATATGGGTGTCCAGTCTTTTCTTAAAAACCTCTAGTGATGGAGCACCCACAATCTCTGAAGGCAAGCCCTTCCACTGGTTATTTGTTCTCACTATCAGGAAATGTCTCCTTATTTCTAGGTTGAATCTCTCTTTAACAAGCTTCCATCCATTGTTTCTTGTCCTGTCTTCTGATGCTTTGGTAAATACGTTGACCCCCCTTCTTTGTGGCAGCCCCCCAAATATGGGAAGACTGCTATCATGCTATCCCCTCCCGCCCCCAGTCTTCCTCTTCGTGAGACTAAACATATCCAGTTCCTGCAATCATTCATCATAGGTGTCAACCTCCACTTCTCCAATCATCTTTGTTGGTCTCTCTCAGTATGTGAATGTGCATGTTCACATCTGTGTGAGAGAGAACAGTTGGCGTGCGTGCCTGGGGATCATCACATGGGATCCGTTAATAACATGGAGGCAGAGCAGTTAATATTAGCAGCAGAGCACTCTGACGTGCTAAATTGCTGGCTTGCATTCTCAGGCCAAGTTTTTAATCTACTCAACTCCCGTTCTGTTGACGCTGTCGCGCCCAGAGACTTTACTCACAAATAATAGCCATCATGGAGTTGAAATTTCCAATGTTGAAGCATTCTCTCGCCACGTCAATGAAAAATTCCATGATTCTCGTTCTCTGCTTCTTCTTCACCACCTGAAACATTACAAAGAGGTTCAGTGAGAAGAGGGGAACGGTACTAACGCCACAGAAGTATTAAACTCATTGCAGAGCAGACACATTTGTCGGAAGATCCACAGGATGGATTCTGTTTTTCATGGAACTCTTCAGGGTTAGGCAGTGAGTTGAGTTCCTCCTCTGTTGTTTTTTTTTAGGAGATCACCAAAATCCTGCATGTTGAGTTGTTAGGTACTAAGTGTGATCCCCTTGCTTTAGGTATTCAGGGTCTTAAGTGCTTCTGAACGAGCAAGAATTTAAATAATTTCTTTCTAATCGGGACAAGGCATGCATGAAAAAAAATGCCTCTGGTGAGCTAAATGCCGAAAAGTATTTAAATTTTCTAGCCTGAAAGATAAAAACTGCCAAAAATACGTTGTCCTGAAGAGAACTGCTTCTAAAAAGAGAAGACTGTTTTGACCCTGTAGGGTTTGATGATGACACTGAGTAGTTGTAATCCAGCTTTTTAAGTGTCCTACTTGATGCAGAACGTATCCTAGCCTGAAACAAAATATTCCTCACTTCAAATATGCAAATAAAGGAGACCAATAAGCTGAAAAGCTGATTTGATTCGACTTAATTACAACCGCTGTTGAATTTAGGTTTGGATTATCTCCTGATTACATATTTTATTTCACAAATCCCACAAGGACTTTGAGATATTTCCTCCCAACAATGCTCTTGGGTCAATAATGACAATTATCCTCGATGTTTTTCTGCATAAAATATATGGGCAATCAGCCCAGAGTGAGCCAAAGGTCAGGCAATGCATTTCATATCTGACGATGGTCTACTTGACCGTTTTGGGCCTCTGATATCCAGAGACTGTCCAAATTAATCAACACGATGCAGAGAGTTCTACAACAAACTCTTAATTTTGGGGGGGTTGTTTGGGTTTTGATGATTAGGATTTGCGCGGTGGGTGTTAAGAGCCAAGGCAAAGTTGTACTGCCTCATCTGGATCCCAAGCAACAAACAGCAAGGAAGTTGTGCTGTGTGTCACGCTGATGACATTTCGCTCTGAATCTCAAAATGTTCTCCCTCCATGGTTCCATGTTGATGTTGAAAAGTAGAGGAGATAAAAATTAAGCTAGTGAATGTCCTTGGGAGTTGAACTGAAGCTGACTCTTGTTCCCTTTTTGCCTCTCGCTGGAGCTAAAATCTCACAAAGAAGGCGTTTTTGCCCATTGCAGAGGCATTCAATGGGTGTGATATCGTTGCGAATCTATGGGTGTGAGAACCTTGTGGTTATGTCAAGGGGACTCGAACCCACAGAGGTAACCGTCAACCATCAATCAATCATCCCTACTCTGACCCTTGGGGAGGGGCAGAGAAAGGAACAAGTGCCTTAATACCCAGCCTGGGTGCCATGTTCTCGAGATGGACGTCTTTGAATAAATGGACGTCAGGTGCAAACAAAATGCGAAGAGTTCAAAGCAGGATCGTAAAAATGGGCAGCTATAAAAAAAATCAAACGAATAAAAAATAAAGAATACTATCAAGGCACAATGACCGGGTGGGGGTGGGGGAAGAACAAATTCCTCCTAGCGCTTCCATTTCTGTTGATTAAGCAGAGCTTTGGAAAGAGGCACAGATTATTTAAAAAACGGAAAACTATTTTTAAAGTTGATCTCTGAAAATGGCGTTAGCAAAACAAACTCCTTGGTAACTATGGGAACTAAATCACCCTGTGCCAAAATACTGTGTATATCCTAACTAGGAGATCCGTGCTCTTGCCTCAGCGCTATGGTGCATTCACATGATCAGACACCCTCTGACAGAATATTGTTGTATTCTTACAAATGTACTGTTTGATAACCCAATCTGGACATTTCCCCTCCCCCTTTAGTGGGGTTTTTAGGGGGAGAGGTGAGGAAGGATATTTCAAATCAGCTATGATGCCTGATCACTCACCCAAAGTCATTGAGCTGCTTGCGCTCAGCTCCCTGCCTTAAGCAGGATTAAATCTCATAGTCTCCCAGTTTCAGTTTGGTAGTCCCAAAGATGCTTTTTTTCAGGAGGCAACTGGACTTTCTTGTGTTTCTTTTGAAGACGTTTCGCTTCTCATCCAAGAAGCTTCTTCAGCTCTGACTGGATGGTTGGGGAATGGAAGGATTTATACTCCTTGCAGACAGCTGGTCATTTGCCTTCTTTTGGAGAGGCATTGAAACCATTTTGGAGGTTTGTCTGTGTCCTCAGGGTCACCTGAGTGGTGCAAATCGGTGTGGAGTCTTCTTAGTTGCAGGATGTTTTCTGCCTTGGGTCCCTTCCCTGTTGAAGACAGGCACAGGATGTTGGGGATGAGTCTGTGTAGTCTGCATCTCCAACTGAAGCGCAAATGGCTCTTGAAGTTTTCAACAGGGAAGGGACCCAGGGCAGAAAACATCTTGCAGCCAAGAACACTCCACATCCATTTGTACTGCTCAGGTGACCCTGATGACACAGGTAAACCTCCAGGTAGCCTAATGACTCTCTGTTGTTGTTAGTTGCGAAGTTATGTCCGACCCATCGTGACCCCATGGACAATGTTCCTCCAGGCCTTCCTGTCCTCTACCATCTTCTGGAGTCCACTTAAGCTCATGCCTACTGCTTCAGTGACTCCATCCAGCCACCTCCTTCTCTGTCGTCCCCTTCTTCTCTTGCCCTCAATCTCTCCCAGCATCAGGCTCTTCTCCAGGGAGTCCTTCCTTCTCATTAGGTGGCCAAAGTACTTGAGTTTCAACTTCAGGATCTGGCCTTCTATAGAGCAGTCAGGGTTGATCTCCTCTAGGACTGACCAGTTTGATCGCCTTGCAGTCCAGGGGACTCGCAGGAATTGGCTACCCTCAAAACAGAGGAATTTGAACTGGTGAGTAGCATGTCCATTCCCACCCCCCCCACATAAGTTTGTTACTCCTGTGGATACTTGCCTTACAAATCTCCGTCGCCACCAACATGCTGAGGCAGTTAAACCAATTGTCGTAGGCTTCCAGATTGTAGGTCTTCGTCACGTCGCTTCGGCACTGAAAAATTAAACACCTGCTTTTAGACCTTGTGTCCCAATCAGGACGCCACTTCCAGTAAAGCCATCAACCCTTCTACACGAGTAAACCCAGCTTGGATTTATATGTGATGTCTTTTAAAAAAATAAAAATAAAAATGGATGTCTCCTAAGTAGCAAACTTCTTTTAGGAGGTTCTCAGTGTGCGAAGCAGCGATAGGATTTTCACAGTCCAAATAAATGTGTAGCCTATCTCTAATAAGGAGTCCATGACTTGCAAAAATTCATTTAGTGACCGTTTGAAGTTACAACATCACTGAAAAGAGGGACGTGACGGTTTTTCACACTTCATCATGACCGTGGCAGCATTCCCATGGTCACGTGATCAAAATTCGGACACTTGGCAACTGACTCATATTTATGACGGTTGTGGTGTCTCCCAGGGTCACGCGATCCCCTTTTTTGCGATCTTCTGACAAGCAAAGTCAACGGAGAAGCCCAGATTCGCTTAGCAACCATGTTGCTAACTTAACCGCTGCAGTGATTTGCGTAACAACTGCAGCAAGAAAGGTCGTAAAATGGGGCGCTGTCTTGCTTAACAACAGAAATTTTGGGCAGAGTTGTGGAGTGGTTCCTAAGTCACGGGCCACCCGCATTGCTTTAGTAATTTTGTTGGAAGAGTTCCATCCAACTAGGGAAAGAAAAAAAAACCCCAAATATTTCTGAATTTTTGGCACACGTAAGCTGTGTTGTCGTCAACTTTTAAACAAAGGATGGCATGTTCTGAGTGCAGAAATATTCCAGTGTTATGGGAGGTTTTTGCTAGCAAAACTTGTCATCATTAAAAAACAAACCAGCCCTGGAGCCTCTTTCTGAAATTCTGAACTCTTAATACAAGATATATATGGCCATGACTGGGGATTGTTGGTTAATCTTTCTATTTCCCATGTCTGCTTCATTCAGATTTTGAAACTTACCTTGTGGTTATCCAAGGAGTCCATGTGGCTGACTATTTGCATGAGATCTTCTGGGTAAATGTTGCTTACCCTCTCCTAAAAGAGAAAAGACGATCAACATTGCAGAGGTGTAATGTTTCTGTTGCTCCCCTCTGGCAGGAGGTTTAGAAGTATTTCTAGCAGGACGACCAGATTCTATAACAGCTTTGTTCCCTATGCCTTCCATCTGGTAAACTGTCAAGATTAGGTTTTCCTCGCCATATAGATCTATACAGCCGAACTAGACTGTGCTGTTTCTCTGGGCCATGTATGTGTGGGTATGTGGGTATATGCATAATTTTGTCATGTTTCTACAGTGTATATTGGAGGTGGTTGCCCTTTGAGAGCTATATGCAATGAAATCTCATTTTAATGTATGCTGATTAATGTACATTTAAAGTGACAATAAAGTTATTCTATTCTATTCTATTCTATTCTATTCTATTCTATTCTACTCTACGCTACTCTACTCTACATTCTACATTCTACATTCTACATTCTACATTCTACATCCTATCCTATCCTATCCTATCCTACCCTACCCTACCCTACCCTACCCTACCCTACCCTATTCTACATTCTACATTCTACATCCTATCCTATCCTATCCTATCCTATCCTATTCTATTCTATTCTATTCTATTCTATCCTATCCTATTCTGCATTCTATCCTATCCCATCCCATCCCATCCCATCCCATCCCATCCCATTCTATTCTATGTAAAGAAGACACATATGTAAGGTTAATAGGTTCTTTTCATCCCAGTGCATGTAATCACTTGGAACAAAACATTGTTTAAAAAATGAACATTTTTCTTAGTTTCATTGGTTCAGCTGTCTTTCTTGTTCTTATACGTACTCGAGATGTAAAGAGCTAGCAAGTGACAAGTTACCCACCCTTGGTATTTTTAGTCCTGCCAAAGCCATTCTCTGGGCTTGTCTGTCATCTTCGTCTTCTCTTTGGATGGTCTTTCTAAAACAGGGTCACAGTTGCGACGTCACGAAACAAAGGAAGGACAAGGAAGGGCTCACTTACCAGTTCAATATGTGTTAGTTGCTGCGCGAGGACCAGCGGGTCACAGCAAACACTCAGAATGTCCTTCTGGGATGATTGTGGCTTTGTTTTAAGGATTGGGCCTTTGTCCATCCCCGGTTGACGAAACTTCTCCCGGATTTCTTGGTATTGATTACGGGCAGCGAGAGCCATCAGAAGCTCTTGCGTCATCTGGCTGATGATCTTCTTGACCGTTCCATTTTCCTAATCCATAAAAATACAAGAGTGTTTCTTCCTGGGTGAGGACAGGTAAATTATTCTGGGCAGTGCTCTTGATATAATCCCTTGTTAATGCAACTAAGGATTGTATTGGCTGCCGCCACCCACTGCTGACTCATATTTAACTGATTGTCCACCAAGACTCCAAGATCCCTCTCACAGTTACTGCTATTAAGCCAGGTTTCCCCCCAATATTTAACTGATTGTCCGCTAAGACTCCAAGATCCCTCTCACAGTTACTGCTATTAAGCCAGGTTTCACCCAATATTTAACTGATTGTCTGCTAAGACTCCAAGAAAACTTTCCACATCAAAGTGTTCAATTTTTTTTTAAAAAAAACCTTCACTGTTCAAACTGGTTATTGGTGTAATATGAAGTCCTGCCACAAGTATTTCCCGCCTTCCATCTTGGAGAAAAACTCTAGCTTCCTAATTAGGTCCAACCAGTTTATTTATTTATTATTTATTTATTATTTAAATTTATATACCGCCCTATCTCCCTTACGGGACTCAGGGCGGTGAACAGGCAATAATAAAAATCACAATAAATATTGAATAAAAAGCCTGCTCTAAAATACCCCATATAAAACCCCTAGCAAAGCCCAATCAAAACTACGCCAGGCTGGCCGCATGGAATAGATGGGTTTTCAAGGCTCGGTGGAAGAGGCGCAGGTCCGTAGTTGTACGTAGGTCGGGGGGTAGGTCATTCCAGAGGACAGGAGCTGCACAGACTTATGGCAGCGTCGTAACTGGAGGATTAAGGTAAATTCTTGATGATGTAGATGCTAAACTCTTTTTGCAACTTAATTGGGATCTCAAAAACCTGCTTAATGAATGTTGGTTAAACTTCTGCATCCTGCCTGCGTAGGCGTGGATGCTTCTTGCGGTTAAGAGACTCTGTTCAGAAATCAGACTTGAAAGAACAAGCCAATACAATAATATGCTTCCTTGTTCCTGAAATTTCGGGCATGTGTGCAATTTTTTTTGCCCACTTAGATAGGAAGAACCACACAACAGTAACAATAGAATCTCTTCGTGTCATGCTAGACTCTCCAGGACAAACCCATCTGATGTTAGCATGTCAGCAATATATATATATATATATTCAGAGCATCAAGAAAAGGAAAGAATATTAAAAGCCCTTTAGAAATGGCTTGGTATTTTTTTTTTAATCCAAGTATATAAATGTAAAGGAATGGTAAATGGCTACGGGGAGACACATGCATGGTGTCAACGCTGCTAACATTGGATGTTTTTGCATTGACAACAAATGCATATGCAACCATTTTCTTCTTTTTGCTTTCAGAGTCAGATGATGTTGGGGAGGGGGGAGGAATGTGCATGAGAGTCTAGCTAGACATAATAATACTGAACCTAGTGTGAGAACCAAGGTTATTGAAATAAGAGATGATAAGAATTGGCAGGCTGGAGAGCTGGAGGGGAAGCCCTCGTTTCAAACTAATTGGGGAATGTGATTTATGACTGTCAGCTGGAGGAGGGAATTGTGCTTTGATATGATGTGCTCAGGTGAGAGGAACTCAGTTTTTTGGCTTCGACTGTGTTACTGCGATGTTATGCTACTCAAATAAAGATTCCTTAAGGTAAACAATGCCTCGAGTTTTGTTGAAGAGTTTCATCTGTCGGAACCATGACATATGGTTTTACACCACGGGTGTCCAACTTTGGCAACTTTAAGACCTGTGGACTTCAACTCCCAGCATTCCCCATTCTGGCCAGGGAATTCTGGGAGCTGAAGTCCCCAAGTATTAGAGTGGCCAGAATTGGACACCCCTGGTTTACGTGATCCTCTGCTACTTTGGCTGAGAAGACTGTCTCACTGAAACAAGGATAGGGCCGGATCAAAACTGATAGAGCAAGCAAAAGAAGACACAACATTTCTAAAACATGTGATGTAAAATCAAAACAATCCTTGCAAATAATCATTTTAAAAAAAACCCATCATCTCAAAGAAGAAATATCCACTTTAAAGACTCTTATTATGCTAACATACCATGTTTCTAATCATCAGCCATATGACCTTCACCACATCATCAGCCATATGACCTTCTGGCCCTTAGGATGTGACATTCCAGTAAACAGCTGGCCTGACAAATTGGAACATGTCCGGCTGACGGCACTCTTAATAGTTAAGTGTCAACTTTAATCATCAGAGGTGCTCTCTGTTTTACAGCTGTTAATTTTTCTTTCTTTCTTTCTTTCTTTCTTTCTTTCTTTCTTTCTNTCTCTCTCTCTCTCTCTCTCTCTCTCTCTCTCTCTCTCTCTCTCTCTCTCTCTCTCTCTCTCTCTCTCTCTCTCTCTCTTTCTTTCTCCAACGTCTCTAGGAAGGGAAGATTAGGGATCTATCAATCCTCACTCCATTTAGAACGATCAATTCAAGCTCCTGTTTTGGAAGTGAGCAAACACTGCCCAGCAGCAACATTAGGTAACAAAATGAGGAGGCTGTTGCTTTCCAGGAAAGGAAAGGAAAGGAAAGGAAAGGAAAGGAAAGGAAAGGAAAGGAAAGGAAAGGAAAGGAAAGGAAAGGAAAGGAAAAGAAGCAAATCGCAAGCCTGGGCTGTATTCTCACAACCGATAAATAATTGTTTCTATCAAGAGCAACGCACGGTACTATTTTGGCAGCTGATTCAATGCATCGGGGCTAAAAAAAAAACATCCCAGTTTAGCTCTGCAAGAAAGCATTCTTGAAAAAATGGAGGGGTTTAAATAACAATAGCATTTAGACGTATGTGTCATTTCGTAGTGCTTTACAGCCCTCTCTAAGCGGTTTACAGAGTCAGCCTATTTGCCCCCAATAATCTGGGTCCTCATTTTACCGACCTCGGAAGGACAGAAGGCTGAGTCAATCTTGAGCCGGTCAGGATCAAACTGCAGGCAGTGTGCAGAATTAGCCTGCAATACTGCGTTCTCATCACTGCGCCACCACAGCTCCAATCTTGAACCGGTCAGGATCAAACTGCAGGCAGTGTGCAGAGTTAGCCTGCAATACTGCGTTCTCACCACTGCGCCACCACCGCTCTAAATGTTCAATGTTTTCTTCTAGTTTTGCTATATCTTGGCTGGGCTTTGGAAGAGGAACACGTTTTGGAAAACATGGGTGTGCACCCAAAGGTGCTTCAGATCTAAAGTGCTCCATGTCTGAATTGGCAGAGGAAATTACAGCCAACAGTCCTTCCGTCCCTCGGTGCTGCCTACGACAAGATCTACTGCTACCAGTAAATATTTTTTTCCCTTTGACAAGTTAATACATGGGTTGGTAAAATGAGACTTTTTTTTTTACACCACTCGTTCTTTTTTCTTCCTTACCTCATCACACTGGGTGATCCGGTGAGCAATTTCCTTTAGCTCCTTCATAGGTTTCTCATCCTGGAAGTCATATGGAAATGTTTCAGTCCATCCTTTCAGAAGCTGGATTATCTTTGCTGCGAAGGCCTTGAGCTTCCCCTAAATGAGAACAGAAGGTGGTTAATTGGGGGACCCAGAATCTTCCTAACTTTGAATGTTCGGCAAGTTTGTGATGCTGTTCAGTGCCAACGGCAGGAGATGACCAGGCTGAGACTGAGGGAAGGGTCAAACGTGTCATCAGTCCTAAATTCCTTTGTACCTACAAGAGATCTAGGTGCAGCCCTCCTTGAATTCTGTTGACCCTTATCTACCGCCAATTTGCTTTGACTGTTAGTAGTTCAGACTCTCATAGAGAGTTAGCGTGGAATGAACTTGTACTCACTTGATACAAACTCATGGGGTTCCTGGTTTCTAAGTTACACCTGACACCAAATTTTGAACCATCGATTAGAAAAAGGGAGAATGGAAACCAAGGAAAGGGCCGATTTGTATTTATTTACTCTTTTGCTTCCAGAGGTGGTGGGTGCTCCGTTCCTGTGCATGGATCACCCTAGCACACCACTCAATGGCTGGCCAAGGTGGGTGGGAGAACTTCTTGCCAGGAAGAAAACCGTGCAACTCTGCCTAGTGCAGGGGTAGGCAACCTTGGCTCTTTTATGACTTGTGGACTTCAACTCCCAGAATTCCGGAGTCAGCATGGCTGGTTTAGGAATTCTGGGTATCGAAGTCCACAAGTCATAAAAGAGCCAAGGTTGCCTACCCCTGGCCTAGCGCAATCCAATTGTAAAGAGAGACATGATTCCTCCAGCTTCATTGGGCATTAGCTTGGATTCAAAGATGATCAGGTTTCAATGGGACATTGTTGGAGAGAAAGTTGGAAATATGGCTCCTTATTCTTGAGTCAGTCAACCATGTCTCGGAGGGTGGGGGACTTCCTGGTCCCCCCCACCTCGGTCACAGGGAGTTTTGTTCCTTGCTCCTGGTGTCCATTGTTGTCATAACTTCATCCTGTTTCTTTATATTAGTATGGGTGGCTGGGTATTAATGGAAAGCTAGTTCTCAAGGATGGGAAATGCTTAAATGCTTGTTCTGGGAGTGGGTTGAGAGATTTTCTCTGTGAGAAGCAAGGACTTCCTTTGTTCACCCTTCTAATCAGATCAGCTGAAAAGTTCGTGACTCTTTCTCCCTCCTTCGAAAGGGGAAGGAAGATGGGCTGTTCCTTCTCTGCTCTGCACCCTTGCATGGGAATTGAGAGAGTCCAACAGATTAGCCCAATTCCCTTTAGGAAAAAAAAAAAAAAGGAAGTTGTATTTTTTTAGAATTTCCTCTACAAGAGAATGCTCGGTTGAAGTTACGACTTCTGCTTAAAATAATAATAATCCCAGAAATTCTTCCTTGAGCCTTATCACATGAAAAAACAAGGGTGTGTGTTTGAGTGAGACTCCAAATCTAGCTCAGATTTTTTGTCATCTGTGGAAACATCCATGTGTTCTCCCTGGCAACAGCATGGAAACAACTGCTGCTATCCATTGTGATGTTCTTAAGATACTGATGACTTTATAATAGGATTACAAAGGGGTTAGGAAGGAGAGGGCGATAGAGCAAGGTCCAATCAGTTTTTTTTCTTCTCCTAAATTTCCAGGGATCAAGTTTAAGCAGCTCTATCACTTTCTCTCACTGTACTAACGCAGGCAGCATTCAGGATTTGGGTTGAACTCAAAAAACCTTTGCAGAATCAGAGTTGATTAGTGATTAGACGAGGCTCCACAAAGCTAGACTGGGAAGTCTGCCTGCCTGCCTGCCTGCCTG